TGAAGCAACTGCCATGTGATTGGTTGATTAGATAATTGCATTAATGAGAAATTGAACAGGTGTTCCTAATAATCCTTTAGGTGAGTGTATATATCACAGCAAGAGAAGCAAGGAGGTAACGGAGAAATTCAAATTTGCTGCTTCTTGTCTGTCAATTCGGATCGTTACCCACAAAGAAACGAGTAAGACGGCAGCAGTGAAGTTTCTGCGTTTTGGAGGCTTGTGTTTTTTTGATGGAACAAAATTTTCTGTGATTTTGACTTGTTTTTACATAGACCTCAACAGACCTAGAATGTGAGGATGGCTGATGAAGATTTGGAAGGTCGTAGTGTTTCTTTTATGGTTTGTTGTACGGTCCATTGAAGCTTTGAGTAAAATGGTAGGTGGTATATGGAGTGTTTTTGTCTTAATATAGTTGCCAAATGTGGTAACAACACAGAAAGGTGGTAGAAGCCATTAAGATTCCTTCTGCCTCACCATCACCTCACTCCAGTGATGTCCATCCTTTAGCTGTGGCATCAAAACCAGCAGGAATGGTGAAAACACACACAGGTGATTGAACTTAAGACATAATGGGTCAGGACACTAGAACAAATTGCAGTGACACTGAAACAGATATGGACCACATCCTTTGCTGTACTGTTTGGACAGGTCAGCTTTGTTGGAGGAGTGATAGTTCCAAAACGAATATTTGATCATCTTTCAAGAAAAAAATATCAATTTTTGCTCAAGAGTTGGCTGTTGTGCTTTTCAGAGGAGACACCTTGGCCTTGTCAAGTGTCACTGTACAAAAGACAGTTTGATCCCGAAAAGGCCAATGCATTCATCAGTATGTATGAGCGTGTTAAAGGAAAACTTTTGTATTTTTCAATACACACTTTATTAACTGGAAACAATTTTATCTTTTAAATGTGTTTATCACAAGTTTACATATGCTTTTATTTAGAAACCTTAAGATGCAAAAACATGTTGATTACGTCCTTACCAATTATCATTTTGTTTTCCAGAGGCAGTGACACAATTTCTTGGTACACTTCCATCATAAATCAGGACCATCTTAAGACAAAAATCCAACAATGAAGCCGACTGTAAGAGAGCACAGCCTGGTGCTGGTAAAGACACCCTCTCTGTGAGCATCCGGGGATCCAGTGTCTTGGCTTTGTGATTAGTTGGTATACTAGCGTGGTTTGTTTTTAGCCAAGAGCTGGGGAAACTTTCCGTTTTTAATTTTTTTAAAGTTGATTTTACATCACTGCTAATACTATCTAAGTTGGTGCAGTTTGTTGCACTAGCGTGGTTGTCTTCAGCCAAGAAGCTAGTATACCTACACTCGGAACACTCATGCCTCCTCTACATTCCCCGAGTGGATCCCCGGTCGGCAGCAGAAGCTGAGCCGATCTGGCCAAGAAAATATCCGAAGTGGAAAGTAGGAAAAGTCTCTTGCACCAGATCAGAGAGGATGAGGTGTTGATCAACTCAGTGATGGTGGTGGCTAATGCTACTGCTAACACCTCCATGGCTGCTCTGGACACTACTGGTCAAGAGCCAGTCACTGCTTCCAGCCAGACGGCAGATCCATGGCCCAAACTGGGGGCTCGACCAAATCTAGTGGGCTGTTCCAGAGGCATGGATGCCAGCCCACGGAGGAAAGCGAAGCGGCAGACGCTCAGACCGCCACCCTCATCCCCTGACTCAATCTCATGGAAATAACTAGGAAACAGGTTCGAATCATTTCAAATTGGTTTCTTGAACATGACAATGAGTTCACTGTACTAAAATGGCCCCCACAGTCAGCAGATCTCAACCCAATAGAGCATCTTTGGGATGTGGTGGAACGG